CGTTAAAGGGTTTACCCAATCATATGGAATCGATTATCAAGAGACATTTGCTCCTGCTGCTAAGCACAACCCAATTCAGATATTATTCTCTTTGGCATCTAATCTTGATTGGTCTCTCTACTAATTTGATGTGAAAAATGTTTTCTTTAATGGTGATATAGAGGAAGAAGTGTATATGGAAGTCCCACCTGGACTCGAAATGAATCCCCAAAAGGTATGCAAACTAAAAAAGGCACTGTATGGTCTCAAACAGTCTCCAAGGGTATGGTTTGATAGATTCACCAATGCAGTGAAACATATGGGATGTGAATAATGTCAGTCCGATCACAATCTGTTTGTCAAGCATTGTACCACAAGAAGGAGAGCTATATTAATTGTCTATGTGGATGATATTATCCTAACAAGTGATCATAGTGAAGAAATTCAAAAATTGAAAGACTTTCTAGTTAGAGAATTTGAAATCAAAAACCTTGGGATACTCAAGTATTTTCTTGGAATGGAAGTTGCCAGATCCAAGAAGAGAATTTTTATATCTCAGCAGAATTACATCTTAGATCTTCTGGATGAGACAGGTATGCTTGGTTATAAACCTGCAAAGATTCCTATGGAAACAAATGCTAAACTTCGTTCCAAAAGTGACAGTAAACCTATTGATAAAGAGGGGTATCAAAGAGTTGTAGACAAACTTATCTACTTGGCTGACACAAGACCTGACATCAGCTTTGCTGTTAGCACTGTGAGTCAGTTCATGTCTGAACCTACTGAAGAATACATGTGTGCTGTCTATCGTATTCTGAAGTATCTAAAGATGACATCTGGATAGGGAATATTTTTTCAGAAAACTATAGTCAGAGATATTGAGATCTACACTGATGCTGATTGGGCTGGATCTGTGACAGATAGGAGATCCACATCTGGTTATTGCTCTTATGTTTGGGGTAATTTAGTCACTTGGCGTAGTATGAAATAATCTGTTGTATCAAGGAGTAACGCTGAATCTGAATTACGATCACTTGCACATTACATATGTGGAGGAGTATGGTTTAAAAAGATACTACTTGAACTAAGATTTTCTGCTCTCACTGCAATGAGGATCAGGTGTGACAATCAATCAACTATTAGCATGACCAAAAATCTTGTGCACCATGATAGAATTAAACATGTTGAGATTGATCGTCACTTCATTAGAGAGAAAATTGAAATTCAGGATGTATCACTCCTATACATCCCGACAAGTCAACAAACTTTAGACATACTCATCAAAGCTCTACCAAAAAGGGAGTTCAATAATTTTGTATCTAATTTAGGGTTAATTAAGATTTACGTAACCTAAATTGAGGGGGAGTATAGAATGTACATATGTAGGAATGCATATATACATGTATACTTGCACTAGGGATAACTTAGTTTTTTCTCAAGTTGTTAGGACAGCTGATATTGTTAGGACAGTTGGGTATTCTTTTCACTAATTTTTTAGTCTTTTGTTAGTACCTTTTTAACCGTTTTTGTCTTGACTGAAGGCTTATATAATGGCACATTTGTGCCCATGAAATTGCAAGGAAAATCAGAGGAATTCTCCTATTTTCATAGAAACTTCTTCCTTTATTCTCTTCATTGACCATCTACTTTTTCCTCTTCTATATATTCATTTATAATTTTTCTGACAAAAGGAAGTTTGTTAGAGATAAAAGAGAAGAATACATCTGAAGAGGATAAGGGATTCTCCTAACAAAAGTATCTTCTATATAAATGTTAAACTTTTATGGTTTGTGATGTCCTCCCAACTTGGTTGATGGTGATGGCTCCCTAAACAAGCTGATGCATATGCATATATATATATATATATATATAAACACACACATATACTTAATAGAGAAAAATAGAAATATGTTAAAAGAGCACAAAGGAGGTGCAACTGTATAGAAATTTATAGTTCTCTGAAAGAGAAAACATCTGAAACATTAACAAAATCTACCCCACAAAAAAGAGAGATGATCCTTAAACAAAATACTCAAGGGTCCTAAACCGATGGTCCTGGACAGAAGCAAAAGAGAGATTTTCAAAAGCTCTATGTTTCTGTGACTGTTTGTTTTCATCAGTATGATTTTTGTCATTTTTTGTCAAACTTGCCTCTAGTACATTTATTCTCATTTCATTTTGCCTTTTACTTCTTTCTTCTAAATTTGTTATAGAAAAAGATAAAGATTTATTAATTGAGCACTGAGGGGGTTCCACCCTCGTGTAAAACTGGAACTTTTCCAAATAGAATCATATAACAACTTGATAAGTTCCCTAAGATCTTCTCTACGAAGGGATCTCTAATATATGAGTTGTCTCACACTTTTTGCTTCTTTGAGATAGTTTGTTTGTTACTGGTGTCTTTCTGGGCTTATGGACATTTAAAGATGATTCTTTGTCTATTTTATACAGAGATGAGCTAACTATTTTTATTCAGATATGTTGTTTCTTATCGTTTGTTTTTCTTTTGGGAGGGCTATCTAATCCTTCATTTCTATACTTATCTTTTTGTTTTCTAATAATACCTATTGTAATATAAAAAATATTTATTCACAGTTGACTCCATTTTTATGTTGGATTCTATAATAATGATTTTTTACTACCACTTGTTAAAGTAAGGATTACCAATTCACCTAACTTGAATGGAATATGGAAGAATATTATTTTTTTATTTAAATCTTTATCTCTTTTCTATTGTATTTTTACTCGGCTATTCTTTTCTAAAAAATCACATTTGAATCAATAGCATTCTTAGTTTGTTCTATTGCTTCTTTTTTCCCTTAAATAACATCTGCGGTAATTCATGGGGTCTCGTCCATACTGCTATTTTTCCATTAGTATTTTGGGTTCTCTCGATTTCTGTCTCTCCTTTCCATTTCTTTTCTTCTGGCTTTTTCTTGTGGGATGTCATGATGCATATTCACATTATATTTTATTAAGTCAATTATTTTATTCCATCATCCTTTCCAGGGGATCGTGTGAAGTACATCGGCCCTTCTGTACAAATTGAAGCTGATGACAGGTAATTTATGTAATTGAGATTTAACATATTTACATAATGTTCTTCTATTATTGTTAAGCTGTTTGAAGTCTACTTAGAAGTGGTGCTAAATTATGTCATCATGGACAATGTATGAAATTTAAGAAGATTGGGCTTTTCTAGAGCAACTTATGGAGCATCAATTTCGATATAAATTCGTATTTTTTACGTCCTTCCAAATTCATTGTTTTACGTCATGGAAGGTTAAATCTTAAGAGGAAATTCTGATCCTGCCTGTTATGACCTAAATGGTTGGAATGGACCTTTGACACTATGATTTGTCTTCATGAATACTGTTTGTCTGTCCATTCAAGAAAGAAATTTTATCTGGTTGGCTTGAAGATAAAAAAGCTGCTAAGCTAACTTTTAACCACTTGGGTTGAGCATATAATTGACTGCTTTCTTCTGAAATACTAATGGGTTTTGACTCTGAACTCTGTAAAAATATATCAGAGTTTTTATGACATGTGGTTCTGAGTCCGTGACCTCCTCATGGAAGCAGAACACTGTCTTGTGCTGTGGTATGTTGAAGTATTAAGTTGACTATATCATGTTAAAGCTGGAGTTTTTGCTCCTTATTCCAATAGTTTAGGTACTGGCCCTTTTCAATCCTAATAGCAACAGGTTGAGGGATCAGTGTCGCTACCTAATTAGAGGTTCCATGGATCACGCATGCTGAGAATGATTAGATCTGTGGTTCTTTCTTTTCACTTTGTATCTTATATTTAAAGAACGCCAAAAATTGAACAACATTTTTCACAGTTTTGATTGTGCTAAGATTTTGATCAGTCAGATGTTGAACTTCTTTAAGACTAAAGCAATAATATTTTTGGTAAGGCACCAATGTGGTGCCTGTTATGTTGCATGTTTGAGGACTGACAAGCACATTGTTCAGAGGCCTTTATATATTACTGGAAACCCTTTAGCTTGGAAGTCATCTCCTCTAGGACCCTTTGCATGATATTGACTTGTATAATGACTCACAGGGTTATATTGGGGAAGATACCGACATCTGATGGTCTGACAAATGCCTTTATCATTATCCATGGCAGGTGGGTTGGTAAGTCGTCCCATTGTGTGGAAGGAATTGCATTTTCTCAGAACTGCTGGGGGTTGTTAGTACATTTTCGTTTTGTTGCAAGGCTCCTTGTTGGAACCTTCTTTCTCAATGGTTTCAGCCATTTGATCAAATTATGCAGATTTTTTTTGGTTGGTGGGTTTTTATAGTTCAGGAAACTAGGAAGATGTCTGTGGTTCTTGTCTTTGACATGCTTTCCTTGGATTTTTTTTCTATACAAAGTTGACTTCCATACAATTTTCAACTGCTTAATCTTTAATGCATTGTCTTTTTCTAGCCTAAATTCCTCATTTCTAGCTACTCGCATATTCTTCTTTCTTCTCATTGTTCTGTTATTTGATCAGTCTGTGCTTTTAATGACTTCATCATGCATGTCCAAGCTCTACAAGTTGGAGCAAAAGCTTTACATAATTTTTATTTTGAAAGTTCTTAAAGGATCATAGAGTGAAGAATATTATGTGCTTAAAATAGCGTTTGCAAAAATATATTGGCATTTGATATATCTGCAGAGTATTGAACTAAAAATCTGTCACAAATGCCCTTGTGCATTTGTGTTTACTTTGAGAACTTTTGATGCTTATGGATGATATAGTGTACATTGTCCAATCTATTTATTCCTAGGTCATTTTCATCTTAATCTGTTATGTTGTCTCTACGTTAGTCTTTCGATGTCTTTAACTTCAAAATGTCTAATGACTCAAATGCATATTGCTTTTCTAAATCTTTAATTTCTTAATTTCCCTAGAAAATGAATGAAAATATATCATAGAAAGAAAATCAATATCTTTTCAATTAATTAGTTTGTATTTTTTATGTTTTAGTGTCCTGTATATTTCTCTTATTTCTTGATCTCTAAGTAGTAATGCTAATTAGAGATTACAATTTTTAACTTTTTTTTTTTAGTTGTAACTTAAATGATTTTATGAAAAATAATCGTGAAAGATTTTATACAGAACTTTCTAAAGCAAAGCTGAAGTTCATAAAGTTTATAGATGTAATGAAGATACTTTAATCAATGGGTATAAACTATCACTTGACTTCGCTATGATAATTATCTCAATTACAGAGTAGAGAGAACTAAGCCCAAGTTTTATTCCCAAATTAATTATTCACTTAAAAGATCAGAATCCAAAAGCCCAAAAACATAGATGTGGCACTTTTTATATCCAGGGTAATATTGCTTTCCATTTTATGGATATATAGATAAGAATGATTCTCTCCATTTTAATATGTAACTCCTGTGAGAATTCTTTTCCATAAAAAGTTACAAGAATTTATCACTGATTTCTATTGTAGAAAGTTTAGCAACCTGCATTCTCTTTCTCTGTATTAAGATAAAGGAAGAAAATTTAGCAATCTGCAACATGTAGATTGCTTGAAATTCAATTGGTATTTGCACCTTGGATTGATTGATCATTCCACTTCCTCAATTTCACTTGCTCTAAGTTACTGCTGCATGGGAAGGGTGGTTCCTGTAGAATTATTAGCAGCAAGAGGTCTATGGTGCTTCTTCGGGTATTCCTTGGTGTTAGCTGATTAATAGTTTGAGACAGTGGTTTGGAACTGATGGGCTAAGGACTGTCTTAGGTCACTTCTCTCTTTCCCTATCACGTCTGCTTCATTAGCCAATAATATACTTAACAAATTAGTCAAAAGTAGATGATCAAAGTAAGGTTGCAGCTTAAGTGAGTTTGTTGAAAGCCAACACCTGCTTAACTTAAGAGTTAAAAACCTGTACTCCAGCCTAACCTAACTTACTCAAGTCTCTTCATTCTAGCTTAACCTATCCTAACTTAAAATTTACCAAGCACATGGCACTATGAGCTCCCTTTTCAATGTTTAACAGATCAAATATTAAGAGTCATACTTAACTCATTCACCTTAGCACTTCCATGAGATTTTTTTTTTGAAATATACTTCCATGAGATATTTGTTAGCTGATTCTGAAAATGGAAACAGAACTGGGATCTATCTTTAGTCTTGATTGTTTTCATTCTAAAGTGACAAATATGTTGTTCTTGTTAGAGATAAAAACCTGATGGATCATAGCAAGGTGTATATCTCAAACAATTCTCCTTGGTTATATATTTCTTCTAAGTTGTTTGAAAATTCTACCGAGAAGGTACCTTTTATCTGTTTCTTCAACAGTTGTTAGGTTACTGGTCCAGGAAAGCTCTTATGGTGGACCCCAGCATCTGATAGGCCATATGGAATAGTCTATATTGGTTTCCTTTTGTGATTATTATCATCAGCAGGTTTTATTTCAAATAAAAAAAAAATATCATCAGCAGGTTCAAATAGTAAAACTTTTAGTTTTTAGCATTCTTTGGAGTGGCTTTGAACAACTAGACCATGTCCGATAATAGCGATTCATCCCTGTATCTTTTTAATTGGAAAGAAAGAGAAGTTTTATGTGTTTATAGGTTGCAGTAGATGTTTGTGTCATTAATCTGATATTGCTGTGTTCAGGGCATTGTCAAGTGGGCAACGCGGGGAGGTATATGAGGTGAGTGGAGACAGAGTTGCTGTCATATTGGATGTTGGTGCTGAAGATAAATCACGAGCGGAAGATGAAAAGCTCTCAGAAAAGCCTTCAAAACCCCCAGTTTATTGGATAGATGGTAATTCTCTAACTTTAGAAAGGCTTATCTATTCATTAGTGTTTTTTTTTTGTTAGCCTGGATTTTGTCCATGTATTTTATCATAAGCAAGCTGACAATTATAGCCTGCCTACAGTCAAGGACATTGAGCATGATTTTGATACTCAAGCAGAAGAGGGCTATATTGCCATGGAGGCTTTGTGTGAGGTACACTAGAACTGGTTATATTGAGGCTTTATTATTTTTATTGCTTATTGTGTTTAAATGCCTTTGGTGGCGAACAATAAGATGGGTTTCAATAGTATACAAGCTATGGTCGATGGCTTACGGTTTATTGGGTATCAGTTGAGTGATGTCGGGTTCGGTCAGAGATGAAATCTGGGCGCAGAAGAGCATTAATCGACGAAGGAAATTTGTGGACCTTATTCCAGCCACCATTTTCTGGCTGGCATGAAAGGAGAGGGATAGAAGAGTTTTTGAGAGTGTTGATGATGTCGGTAATTTTGATAGGATTAGAAATAGATGGTTTCAAACCCTTAACTTTTTGATCTTGGGTCATCATCTTTATTCTATAGAAGATTTGGGGGATTTTGTTGACATTTTGATAGATATGTAAATAATCTGTATATGGGTTGACATCTTCTTGGTGCCTGTTAATACAATTTGCACTTTTTATTTCACAAAAAAAAATTAAGGTGGGTTCCAAAGAGACTTGATGCGTGCTCTTTACCCTGTTTGCAGGTTTTGCACTCCATGCAACCACTTATTGTCTATTTTCCAGATTCCTCTCAATGGTTGTCTAGGGCTGTTCCCAAGTCAAAACGCAAGGAGTTTGTATCCAAGGTTCAAGAAATGTTTGACCAATTATCAGGTCCTCTTGTTTTGATTTGTGGGCAGAACAAAGTTGAAACAGGGTCGAAGGAGAAAGAGAAATTTGTAAGCCTCTAGATCAACATCAAGTAGAAGTACCATTTACCTTTTTTTTTCCTGTGACTAGTATATTAATGTGTTTTTTCTTTTCGTTTTTTTTGCCTTCAACAGACTATGATACTTCCAAATTTTGGTCGTCTTGCAAAACTGGTAATGCATACTAAAAATTTTGTTGATTGAGAATTATGTTGGGGTATTTTTTTTATATATTATGCCTGTCTATATACAATATTTGATATTGATGTATTTATGGTAGTTCTTTAGTACTCTTTATGTGTATTTAGGCTGTTATGGAGGACGCAATGCATTTTTTTTGCAGGGGAAAATAATGTGCCATTCACATGTTGCAAAGATGCAAGGACTGTAGTACCAAAAGTATAGTGCACTTCAATTACAAGATAAATGTTCCAGAACATCTAATAAATATCCCCTATTGGTACATTAAAAAAAAAAAAACTATCGTCTATTGTTAAGAATATGAGAGTTTAGCCAGAGACTGAGGTAGTGGAATTAGTTTCGGTTCCTGTGGAAGGGAATGATGTTCCCCTCAAAATCCTATTATTTCTCTCTTTCCGAGCTTCCAAATAATAGACAGAGGAATTGTGTCATAACCAATCTCTATTGGTCTTCTCCTTTTATGTAGCATACTGTCCCTAGTCCGAAGTGTGCCATTCACTGATATGGCTACCACAAAGTTTGGCCCAATCAACAGTGAGGCTGCTTCCCAAAGGCTTTTTGTCCACTTAATACTATACCTGAAGGCTCTAGGTGTTTCCGTAGCATCCAGAAAAAGAGAACAACCATTTTTTAGGTTGTGGTTAGAGTCTTCTACCCAAGCTGCTTCCCATGCAACAAAAGCTTTATTGAAAGGTGCCTTCCTCTTTCAAATAGCCTTCGACAGGAAAATTTCCTTGCTCTCTTTCTTATAACCTCTTATAAAAATTCAGCAGTAGGATTCCACATCAGAGGCTCCTTTTAAATTGCCACTGTAGGATTATCTCTTTTTTCCACTTGTGCTCTTGGTCCACAGAGTCTTTTAAAAAAATTCTGTTACTGAAGCAATTTGCGAATCATCAAGATTTCCTCACAAAACTGACATACACAGCCACTTAAGGGAAGTATATGTCTTCTGAAATCTATCCATAAATATGTTTAAGGAATTCTATTTGGATGTGTGATTATCTTGGTCACCTGTGGTACTTAACTGATGACGGCTTTACCATTGAGCCATGTCTTGATACTTCAATGATGACACAATCCATAAAGTGGATTTTCCAAAATTTATTTATAAATGTGTTTGAGGAAGTCAATTTGCATGTTTTATTATCTGATCTCTGGAGGTATTTGAGTGATGAGGGCTTAAGATGACAACCAAATAAAATTTGTCCTATTTGGTATGCCTAGGCCGTTTCCTATTTGGTAAGAGCAAAAGCCCATTGATGACCTGTGGAAATTAGATTTTTATGTCTACATCTTGCTTTCAGTGTCGTGGAAGCCAATTAAATATTGTTCTAGCCAAGTGAATCAAATTATAGAGCTGAATTCTATTAGATCTTCAAAATTGGATTGAATTACTTCAATATCAAATATTTTCCTAGTAAATTATTGTTCTTTCTTTGTTATACCAGTTATAAATTTTGATCTGTTTAAGTTTTATTCTTTTCTCAAATTTTTATCATAAATTTGAAAGGCTTGCTATTTTTTCAGCCTCTCTCTTTGAAGCGCCTCACTGAGGGACTCAGGGCTACAAAAAGATCAGATGATAGTGAAATATATAGGCTCTTCACCAATGTTTTACGTCTATATCCTCCTCAGGTAAATTCGTTGGTCTTTCACTTTTCTTTTTCCTCAAAATATTGGAATCCTAATTGCATGGGGAATAATGTAATTATGTCCCGAACTCTCTTCAATTTCTGCCCTTTCTAATAAATATTTTTCTCTAAAATAATAACAATCTAAAATAAAAACTATCTTGGTGATGTCTTTTGTCTTATTGGCTCCTTGCTATATTTCGTTTGCTTTTTGCCTTTCATTATTGATTGTTAATCGGGTTCTGTATGCCATAAAATTGACAGGAAATTCTTTTATGTCGTCCTTTCAGTTTGAAAGGTTGAGGAGGATGTCTTATTCTCCACTATTTTATTTTTTCATTTTTTTCTGTTGAAGCTTCTTTCTTATAAAAAAATATTCCATGATATAATATTCTTTGAAATTTTATTTAAAAAAAGGAAGGATTAAAAGTGGATGAGTATGCTTCCCCCTCCCCCCGGTATGCATTTCTGTCCTAAATTGGGGCAGGGAGAAGAATGATTAGTTTGAGCACTTGAATGAAATGATTTGACAGAAAACTTTTCCACTCTTTTATGTCTCCACATAGGGGTATCCTGGTTGAACCAAAGTGGTCAATACACAAGGTGGCAAGAGCAGGAAGGATTAGTTAATTTCCTTGAGAATCTCTTGCAGAAAATTTTAGTTTTTTATTTTATCTTGGGTACCCAATCTTGACTTCTATCCTTTTCTTTTTAGTTTTCCATTTCTAGATGTAAGAATAGTTTTTTATTTTTTCAGTTTTGGAAGGTGCCTATTCTATGGGGTAGTTTTTAACTTGATCCAAAGATGATATTAATAAAAGTAATTTGTTAACGAGTGTGCATCCATAATTTGTCTTTAATGAAATGTGAATTTGTTCCCGATTTCAGAGATCAAAGGGAGCTCTTTTAGATATTAAAGGATTCTCTCTAAACAAGCTTTTGTAGGGATCAAAGGGTTATCTCATAAAGAGCCCTTAACTCTGTTGAAACTCATAACTAGATCCAACTTAAGGACCTAATATATTAGTATTTTAGTCAATTGTAATTGGTGAGTCTAGACTGCTGTACTAACAATTTTAGCATTTTAGCTCGTTGTAGCGGTGGACATGATTTTGGATCTCTTTTTTGCTTTAACAAAGTGCTTCTCAGGAAGTGGGTTTAGAGGTTTTTGAGGTTAAGAGGTGGAAGTATGGGCTTGGTTATGGGGTTGGATGGCAAAGTTGTCTTAAGGATTCTCATTGTTCAAGTTTATGGAAGAAAATTAACTTGGAAATTGCAGATATTTGTGTCTCGTGCTCTAAAGGAGGCGAAACACATTCCCATATATTTCTTCATTGCAAGATAGGTTGGAAGATTTAGACAAAAATCCTTACTCTCTTCGGCTTCAAGTGGGTCACACCTCCTACAGATGAGAGCTTTTTAGTGTGTACATCAAAGGGGATAGGGTGAGAAAGGAAGTGAAACCTTGTGGCAAGGCCAATCTTTTCATGTCTGTGGACCGTATGGCTTGAAATAAATTGGAAAATCCTTAAAGACTAATGTACCCTGTTCTATGAGCTATGGGAGGATGGTTTTTTATGGCAACATTATGGGTCAAGGCTTATGAGAAATTCTCTTATATAGCTATTCCCGACGTCCATCAAAATTGGGAGATTATTATTGTTGGCCCCTAAGATCCCACATTCTTTATGTATTATATTTCTCTATAATGTTTTGTTGCTCAGTATAGCTTGTCATAACCAAGAGGATTTCTTGGCCTACATTTTCATACCTATTTTCCCTCTTATTTCAATAAAGCTTCTTCTTTTATCTCCTCCCAGAAAAAAACTTGGGATGGGATGAATTATTTTGGTTTGGTGCGTCTGGATGTGGATCGACTTAAAGGAAAGGGAGAGAGTAAGATGTTGGAAAGATGAGAAGTGTCATGGATGTGCTTTGTATAACCAATTCCCGACTATGAGACCACTTCTCCATCTCTATTGGTCAAGTAGTGTGGACCTTGTAAGAAATCTGACTGATGACAAGGAAGAACAATATGTTCGTCTCCTTCATCTCTTTTCCCTTTATTGTTTGCATCTTTTGGATGTGGATAAGGCTCTATGGGAAGTGCTAGTGGATCCTTCTCTTAGAAATCCTACTACATGCACTTGACTCACTGGTCCTTTAACCATTGCAGATTCACTTGGAAGGATATTTGGAAGCTAAATGTGTCACTTATGATTGCATTCTTTGCCTAGGAAATAGTGTGAGGGAGGATTCTCCCGTTGATAATCTCAGCTAAAGAGAAAAAGAGGGAAGATTTTAGTGAACAAGTGCTATTTGTGCTAGAGGGGCAGCTGAGACTGATCCATCTTCTTTTGTGGTATCCTTTCTCCTATCATCTTTGGTGTCCTGCTATTGAGTTTCTTGGATTTTGTTGGGTGATAGTTGGTTCCACTAAATGAGACTTGGGCATGATTGGGTATTAGCAGAAGTCACCCCTTTAGTTTTCATGAGAATTTAGGGGATTATAGACATATTTGGACTTGTAAATTTCTCCTATTTTCTACATGGGTGGCACTCCTTTTGTTCGTTGCTAATATATTCCAAATTTTTCTCTAAAAAATGGCACACAACGCTGATCTCATGCTTGCAGACAAACACGCTCTTAATAGGGGATGTGATGTTATGATCCTACAGGGTCAATACATATGGCAGCAACGGCAAGTAGGATTAGTTAGTTTTCTATAGAAACCATAGAAGTCTAACTAAGTACGAAAACAATAATCTTAAACTGATAACGTTTTGGGAGTAAGAAAGATTCTTGGTTTTATAATAGGGGAGCAAATGACTAGGCAATCTTATGCGGACTTCCTGAATATTTTCTCTTACTAACACAGCTAGCAAAAAAAAAACATCATTTACTTCTGAAGGCAGGAAATATCTAAACTGTGAATGGTGTTGCAAGTCCATCCTTTTTTATGATTGTTGCTTTTGTTCAGTACCAATTGAATTTATGCTTTAATTTTCTTCAGCAGAAGTAAGCGGCTATTTTTAAGCACTCATATGCCTATGCCTACTTTTCTTAATCATATTTTTTCTATGATACTTAAGCTTGGTTTGAATGTGCATAGAGATAAAGCTCTTGTCAAAAGGACATGTTTTTAGTTTTTCTTGTTGAAAGCTTGCTATTAAGCAAATCAAGGATAGTGTTGGTAACTTATAAATTAATATGCTTGTATTGCATTTAAGGAAACAAATCTTTTTTATTAGACTATCAAATATGAAATATGTATTTTATGGGATATTTTTAAAAGGTTATGACTATATTTGACACAGCTTGAAACTCATCAATTATCTCCATTAAAAGAAATTTTTGTTGCTTTGGGAACACAACCATTCTAAAGCAGCTAAAAATGCTTTTTCTAACAAAAAAAAATGAAGAAAAGAATAACTAAGTGCATTACCAAACACTAAACAAGAGTGAGTTCGAAGAAAGCAACTCCAAAATCACAACCAAGCAAAGCCTTTGTCTTTCATATTTAAATTCTGATATTTGCTATTCATTCCATTGTTTTTGCAGGAGGAAGATCAGCTTAGGACTTTCAATAAACAGGTCGAAGAGGACAGAAGAATTGTGATATCACGAAGCAATTTGAACGAATTACACAAGGTACTATGATAATTGAAAATTTTGAGGAGTGGGCAGTGCAAAGGGCAGATTTTCTTCGTTGGAATGTTGCATATGGGATGTGATCTTTTTGTTTTTGAAATAAAAACATGTATATCACGTATATGATACCAAGGGGGTGCCGCCCCTATACAATATATTTACATGTTAGTTAGTACATGAAAAATCCTCCCAAAATCATCCCACCCACGTACATCATGATCCAGAATTAGAGTGCGAAAAGTATGTAACCATTTATCTCTAATTCTACCAACATCCCTTAACCATTGAACCACTATTGTTCCTCTCTTTTCACACCACCCAAAAAATAGTTTAAGTAATAAGTTTAACAAGATTTGATCTTTTCTCAATCCTACCCCAAGCCCACAGTTCATTTTTTACCAAGTTCTCGATCACCCGATTAATACCTAGTAAACTATACATCATATGCCATACATTATACATCACTGGACACCAAAGGAGAAGACGGTTGTAAGATTTCACAGCTTCCATGCATAGATATCAGCCATTGGCCATAATGTAACCCCTTTTCATCAACTTATCAATGGTAAGAATGCACTTCTGACCCGCTTCCCAGGCAAAAAATAAAAATAAAAATAATTCTCAATTGGGAATTCAAAAATTTCAAACCATCACCCACTCTATTTGTCAAGTAGTCATAGAAGGACTTCCCAGTAAAGATTCTATCTTTCTTTAACTTCCAAACAACCTTATCCTTATAAGTTTCTAGATGCACATCAGCTAGAACTTGAAGGAGCCTTGTAAACTCATCAATCTACCAATCATTCAGTACAACAGTAATTTTAGATATTGTTCATTTTCTAAAAAAATGTGTTAAATATTTATGGTCTTTGCAACTAAATGTTGATTAACGTTATTGTAGGTTCTTGAGGAACATCAGCTATCATGCGTGGACCTTTTGCTTGTAAACACTGATGGCGTGATACTGACAACAAAGAGTAAGAAAGTGAAACAAATATATCTTCATGAGTTTTATATATTAACTAGACAATCTTAATTGTATATATTTTTTTCTTTCTAGTAATTTTCTTCTTTGAAAAATAAAAATGGGTTGATTATCTTTTATCATCTTCTTTTATCCTTCACATATACAATTGCTATTCTTCTCGTTAAAGGAATGGAGATTTGGTCAAAGGATTAATTGTCTATTTTCTTT